TATACATGGACCGATTATCTAGTTGTCTCTAACTCGGCTTCAACTCCAACACCACATCCAACACATTGTAGGGATAGGCGATAATCCGTATATATTTGATATGTATATGGTTTTACAGCGCTTTCAGATGGAGCGGACGGTCCGTCGTGTTTTTTCAAGATAGCCGTCGGACGGAGCATACGTGCCCATGTGAAATTGTTCATATAAACTATGGAGGCTAAAAGGAGTTTTTAAAGTTAAAAGCAGTATTTTAAGCTTTAAAAAATTTTAAAGCCCTCCATAATATAAACTCATGGTACTTGCTCGAAGTCGCGGACGCTCCGCTCCATCTGAAAGCGCTGTTAGCATCTAAACACTGGGTGCCTGCTCACCAAGGGATAGAAGGCAATGAAAAAGCAAATAATCTAGCTAGGAAAGGAGCGAACACTCCACTAACTGGACCAGAACCGTTCTGCTTTCCAAGTGGTAACCAACTCAAGGCGGAACTCAAGAACTTGGAAGATTCCATCCGCAACCTGGAATGGAAATCTTGCAATGGTCTAGGACACTCGAAGAAGTTTCTGAGGGCTTATGATCAAGAAAAATCACAGATCTTCCTGGGTCTGAGTAAGAACAATCTTCGGATTGTCACGGAGTTTTTAACAGGACACTGTCTCCTCAATGAACACCTCAGTAGATTGAAACTAAGAAGAAACGGCGAATGCAGATTCTGTGGGGAAGATGGTGAAACACCAGTACACCTCATCACTGAGTGCGCCGAGACGACAACCATTCGTGCCATGAATTTTGGTACGACTGATATTGGAGATGGAGCACTACCCTCTATAAAACCGTCCCAGATACTGGCTTTTGTCAAAGCCCTGGGACTGTATGATGAGTTATGATTCAAGAAAGGGGGACACAATGGATCTGTAAGGTCGAAGTGATTAACCCCCCTCCCACTCATTCTAAATTCTAAAAAAAAAATTCTAGCATTTAAAACGATTAAAGGTCGGGACACACATATCCGCACCGTGTGACGGCCGTGTGTTGGACGTCGCGACGTCGCACGGAGAGAGAATTGCACAATGTAAAAGAACCGCGTAGTCCCCACCTTACCGCAACGTCATCGCACCATCATCCCCGTACCGAGCCCGCCACGTGCCCGACTAGTTTAGTTTACTTTTTGACGGACACGGTGCGGTGTACGAATCTATTTTGTAAACAATTTTTTTAATTATATTTTAAATGCCAAATTAATATAATACTCGTATATATTATTATTATTATAATAATAAACATTATTAATATAAAAATGGATGTAGAAAAATTAATCGAAGAGATAAGAAAGTTTCCAGTCCTATATGACCAGTCGAACGAAAAATATAGGAATATTTTTTTTTTGCTCCACGATTTTTTTTTTCTCCACAAAATTTTGTCTCCGCGAAACAGCTCCGTAAGCTTCTAAAATAATACTGAACTGCAATCATGAGACAGACCGCACGGTCGACACACGGATCAGGTGCGGACAAGTGTGGTTTGGCGTCATCTTCACCGGCGGTCGGCCGACTTGCGGTGCGGGCACGGTGCGGACGCGGTGCGGTAATGTGTGTCTCGACCTTAAAGCGTGTTTTTTAAAATTAAGAAGCGCAGATGTTACACGATTTTAATGTACTTTGGGATTTGGGCCACTCTTATACAGGGTGTTTCAAAAAACATGTGCCATCTCTCGTGGGAAGATTCCTGAAGTAAAAATAAGATTTATTTTTCATATCAACATAGGTCCGATTCTGCCTTGTTTCGGAGCTACAGGGTGTTAAAATCTTAATAATTTTTCGATTTATTATAATTTTTTTCCAAGTACTTTTAGTAATTCGTATGAAATTTTGAGTGTAAAAGTTACTATAAGTGCTACATATTTTAATGGTAACAAAGTCTCGATAAAGTCACCAGGGACGTACATATGGGTTATCACTGGAATATTTAAAAAAAAACATGTGCTCCACTGACTTTTTTCTTATCAAAATTGAGTAGGCCGTTTAATACAAATTAAAAGTGATCTCTTGATATTTTGTCGAATTCGGCCTCCTTGATGAGATAAACGCAATTTTATTAATCATAATTAATAAAGCAAAATAAAAATGAAATTAATAAATTATATATTTTACCTAATTTATTATTAAATATTATTACTATTAGTTGTTATTACTATTAGTTCAACCTACAGTAATTTCAAATAAAAAAATTATGGTATTTAAGATAATTACAAAAAACCTAATTTTAAAAAGTTTTAACATCCTGTAACTCTAAAACTATGCATTTCCATACCCATGTTTATAGGAACTTTTTTTCATATTTTTTTTATAAAGACTCAATGAGTACTTGGGAGTTGGATTACAGGTTGGATGAAGGCAAATTAAAAAAATTGCGTTTATTAAGGAGGCCGTGTTCAAGTAGGCCGAAATCGACAAAATATCAAGAGACAACTTTTAATCGGCATTAAACTGCTTACACTACTTCGCTAACAAAAGAAAAAAATCAGTAGCATACATGCTTTTTTTAAACATTCCAGTGATAACCCATATACACGTCCCTGGTGAATATGGCGACACTTTTTAGCCTTAAAATATGTCGCTGTCTGTTACCGAAAATGACAGACAACTGTCATGTATCCTCTCGTTGGACAGACTTTATAAAAGGCTAAAAATAATAACAACTATAAATCTATTATACATGTAGACTTCCTCCATTTTATCCTTATCAAAAAGGATTAAACACAATAAAAACAAGTGCGCGATCATGATTAATCAAGTAAAAACAAAGTTATTTAAAAAACAAACAACGCTTTTTTGTATCTGTTGTCTGTTGTACTATTGTAAACATTGCATTTTCTAATTTGTCACATCCATCTGCGTGGGCCAATTTCCATTCATAAAACTTGTGATGAAACAGACTCTATAACATGATTGTATTATGTTCGAGCCATAGGTTCGAACATATGAATATAAGAACAGCGTTGCCAATGATTTTCTAGAGTTAGATTATTTTATAAATTCGATGTTAATAATGTTCAAAGTTAAATAGAACATGTATTCCTTTTTGTTATGTTGCTTTAAAAAAGATATGGTAATAAAATTTTGACTTACAGTCTGTTTATTTTCGTAGCACATGATCAAAACCAAAAAATGTAAATAAGAAAAACCGATGTCAAACCACTATGATTCTACTAAATTATTACTACAGGTTAAACATAATAATATTCAGTTTTTCAGCTATTTTGGCAAAAATGATGTCACCTATACAGGGTGTTTCAAAAAACATGTGCCATCTCTCGTGGGGAGATTCTGGGAGATTCCTTACGTAAAAATAAAATGTATTTTTTATATCAACATAGGCCCGATTGTGCTTTGTTTCGTAGCTACAGGGTGTTAAAGTCTTAATATTATTTTGATTTATTATAATTTTCTTGCATGTACTTTTAGTGTTTCGAATGAAATTTTGAGGGTAAAAGTTACTATAAATGCGACATATTTTAAAGCTAAAAAAGTGTCGACATATTCACTAGGGTCGTGCATACGGGTCATCACTGGAATATTTTTCTAAAAAGAATCATGTACGCCAATGACTTTGTTTTCTGGTGTTAGCGAAATAATGTAGGCAATTTAATGCTGATTAAAAGTTGTCTCTTGATATTTTGTCGATTTCGGCCTCCTTGATGAGATAAACGCAATTTTATTAATTTGCCTTGATCCAAATATAATAACAACCTTGAAAAAAATTTAATATAACATACTTGCGAAAGTTTTACATAAGTGCTCATTGACTCCTCTTCAAAAAATATGAAAAAAGTCCCTATAAACATGGGTATGGAAATGCATAGTATAGTTTTACAGGATGTTAAATCTTTTTAAAATTAGGTTTTTTGTAATAATCTTAAATACCATTATTTTTTTATTTGAAATTGCTGTAGGTTGGACTATTAGAATTAATAACTAATAGTAATAATATTTAATAATAAATTAGGTAAAATATATAATTTATTAATTTTATTTTTATTTTAATTTTATTAATTGTGATTAATAAAATTGCGTTTATCTCATCAAGGAGGCCGAATTCAATAAAATATCAAGAGATAACTATTAATTGGCATTAAACGGCCTACACAATTTTGGATATCAAAAGAAAAAAGTCAGTGGCGCACATGTTTTTTTTTGAAAAATATTCCAGTGATAACCCGCAATATGCACGTCCCTGATGAATTTATCGACACTTTTTTAGCATTAAAATATGTAGCACTTATAGTAACTCTGACCCTTAAAATGTCATTCGAATCACTAAAAGTACTTGGAAGGAAATTATAATAAATCGAAAGATTATTGAGACTTTAACACTCTGTAGCTACGAAACAAAGCAGAATTGGACCTATGTTGATATGAAAAATAAATCTTATTTTTACGTGAGGAATCTCCCCACGAGAGATGGCACATGTTTTTTGAAACACCCTGTATATACGGACGGTGGCGGAACGGTATTATAGTGAGAATCGCGCCTAAGTAGTAGATACATACTAAACTTTCTATCGCAAGGAAACGCTGAAAAAAATGGCGTCAGAGTTGGCATGGAAATAAGAATTGCTGTCATTATTTGAAGTATATGTATAATTATATGGCGAGTGTCTTTGATCGTCATTTCCAAGTTTACTTGACGACGTTTATTTTCGAACATACGGTATATGGATGGATTCTCTATACATGGAAGCTCGTTGGTCGGCGTCATGAAATAACCACACGCTCGTTGTCGGCTAATTAAACCACTTAATCGACGTATTACTGCAATTCCAACTTGTAGTTAATTCTCTACCAGCCAATTGAACTCTCCTAAACCCTTCGTTTATATAAATAAATGACTAACGTTGTGGGAGTGTCGTCGTTGTCGGCCGCCATCGCCGCCGGCACAGCTTGCCTGATTTTATTCTGAAAAATCTTATCAATGAAACTGACTGCAGGCTGACAGTTTGCTCGGAAATAACACAAAAGCAACACACTGCCGGGCGCCGCGCGTTTCGGCCTTTATTTAAATCTAGTGAACATCCGCGTCATAACAAAAGACGCTCGCTGCTCGGTCGACTGGTTCGCGTCATATAGTGCCATTGACGGAAACAAAAAAAACAGTCCTAAAACAATTGCATGTCTATGTACGTGTCGGCGATGATTAATTTTGTTCGAAAAAGTTAAGCTTATATTTTAACAATAATTATCCGTCGAGTCCAGTCGCGAATCGCTTCGAAGACGGGTGGTTATTTTTTCTTTTAAAAATTTTTAATAATACAAAAAGAACCTTGAACCGCTCGACTAAAGATACGTTATTATTAAATAGAGAAAATACTTGAAGTTTTTCTCCGAGAAATCCGATAAAAGGAGGATGTGGCTTTCGATAAAGTTGGCGTAATTGGTGACTAAGACGAAAATGACTCTCGCAAGCGATTTCAGTCTAATATCGTGGTTGCGAACGCTTAGGTACAGCGTCGAGTATTACGAAGATACCTGCGAACCGCCAAACAATCGAGAGTACAAGAACAATCGCGCCCCGGGAAATATGTCTATCGATGAAAAACGAAAGGAAGAAAGTAGCGAAGCTCTGTACGCCAACGTGTGGGAATGTTCGGCAAATTTTGACGGTGAAAAATCGAGTACGAAGCACGAAAACGCACGGGAATCGGAGGAAAACGGTAGTCTAGTGTCGAATCTCGAAGACAATTTCTCGAATTGCGAGTCGGAGAGGTCGTCGTGTGCAGATTTCTATTCCGTGAGTAGTCATCCATCGGGAAAATACGATAACGCAGACAAAATAAGTCAAATAACCGACTTGGACGAATACGTTGATTCTTTCGATACTCGTAAAACATCTCCGACGTACGAAAACCTGGATCAATTCAGCCGTGCGTCGCAAGAAAATATTTACGAAAACGTTCAAACCAAACACACGTCTGAATTCGAAGAAGAAATCTACACTACCATCAAATACCTGGAAAATGTATTGGACTCGGTGGACTCGAGCAGCGAAGGTGATTACGAAGAAAACTTGACCGAAGACTTTTGCGAAAACAATATTTTGGATGAATACACTGACTACGAAAACTTCGAACTAGAAGAATATTGTATGAACGACGCAAAACACAGTCAGGAAGAGAAATTTACTGAAAGTTCGAGCAGTTTCGGAGAATATATAGGCGGCGAACAACTTGTTAAACATCACAATCAATGTTTAAATCAGAAATTTGCTCAGGAAAATAGAATATCGGTCTTCTCTGAGGAGCCAGAACCAATTTCCCCTCAAGAAATTAAAAACATTCCCGTACCAAAGAGGTCGAACACCGCTAGTGTTGGGCAAAGATTCTCGTTCCCGATTAACTTGGATAACAAAGAGAACGTGCTAAGACCGCAGAGCTTTCCCATTTTTTACAAATATACACAGAAAAATAATATTTTGAATTACGATATCGAGAATATCAATTATGATTCGAGTAAACCGACAAAGAGCGGGAAAATAGATGACGCAGACAGTGGTTTAGATTTAGATAACAAAAATGACGCTGTATTTGATGATAATTCTACCAAACTGTTGCTTCCTTCAAATTCGAAAAGTCGCGATTTAAATCTGAGTTTCGCTAAAGAATCGCGGATTAGTGTTGTTTTCGAGGACAATATTGCAGAACTTAATCAGTTGCAAGTGGCGGAAGAAAAGATTTTCGGAAATGATCTGATCTTGCGCTTGAAAGAAAACGCAATCAACTGGATGACGTTATTGATGGAGGACTGTTGCGGCGATAACGAAGATATTATGGAGGAAAAGGTATAGTTTTTGAAATTAACTGATATTCAGGGTCGGACTGACCATATTCAGGGTGGCGATTGCCAGCCGGACTCCAGCCTTCGCTCAGTGGCGGATCTAGGGTAAAATACGTCGTGGGCAAAGACAAAATTTGGTGCCCCCACAATTCAAAAAATGTGTAGACCCCTCACCAAAAAAAAAATAAAATATGAAAAAATATTTCAAACGCTATATTAATATTACTATAAAACTATTACTATAAAAAAAACATAAATAAAAACAAAACAGAAACAAAAGAACATTAATTATGTAGTACTTATGTAGTCTTAAAAACCCTGCGAAGATCACGAAAATACCTACTTACTACAAAATATTGCACGAAATTGCGCTTAAAATTTGACTTTTCTAGCCTTTACAGAAGCCATTTTATCTATCACTTTATTAAAGTTAATTTTTTCGGCTATATCATACTCTATACTTAATATTCCCAAGTCAGTCAGTCTCTCCTGTGTTATAGTTGAACGCCTAAAATCTTTAATTAATTTACGTTTACTAAACGACCGCTCACATGACACAAAAGTGACTGGCATGGTCAGAAATATTCACAGCGCGGTCTGTAAGTTCGGATAATTTGGAATTAAGCCATATTTTTCTAGCATATTAAGAATATCTAAACAGCTAGCTGCTTCCAAGATTGGAAGTCTTGAAATTTTCCAGTTCAAGATATAGCTCTGTTGCATCTAAGTCGTTAGCATATTTAATTGCTAAATCTGCAGCATGTTTTTTTTATTTTTTCTAGTGGTAATGATGCCAGTGACTTTCCAGAAAGGAAATAAAAATATTCGACAACACCTTCCATAGCATTAAACCTCCAGGAAAATTGCTCATTTATTTTATCCAATGATTTGTTATCGACGCCTATGATCCTTATGATAGGCAGTCATTTTCACGCCGTGCCTGCACCCCGTGTCCGCTGATGTTGGCGAGGAGCGGAGTAGTAGGCTTTGGAAACAGTTGAATGTCAGAGAGTTTGTTGATTTTCGGCCGGGGAGAAGACATTGTTTGTCAAGCTAGTTAGAATTATATTTTAAATATCAATTTCTGTTAAATATATTAATCTCCCGATTACAGATTCAAAAATTTGAGTTTTAAATTGTTGTTCTTGGGTTAATGTACCAATTTCGTCATCAGTGTTTTCGTCGAAAAATCTTTTTACTTTTCTTGTCCGTTTTTCTGGGAGAACAGGCTCAATATTGCTTGCCTCTGCAAGGATCTTTAAAGCTATCGTCGACTGTGTCTCTAAACTCAGCTAAGAAACTCTGTAATGAATTCGGCAATTTAGATGCCTCCGCGATCGAAAGCGTTGGCCTCTGCAAAGCAGTGTTTACATTTTCGATGTTCCTTAAAAATTTTCCCAAAATACTAAGAGGACAATGAATGAAAAATTAATCATTTTTGTAAGTCTTTGGGATAATGACACTGCATCACCTGTAAATTTCTTTTTGCGTTGTGTTCCAATATCGATAAGAATTTCACAAATTTCGGGCAGTTGGTGTCTAAGTGATTTAATTGACTGGTATTTAGAGGACCACCTAGTATCTGCATGACCCTTTAGTTTAAATTTTAAGTGATGTACGCACTCCCATCTTTCGGTTGTAGCAGCAAAAAAATTGTATATGCTGTTGACAGTCCCAAAAAATGTTGTTATTTCTGAAGTGACCGAAGCAGCATGGACACCAATCAGATTTAAGGAGTCGTTAGGGCATGGTAGAAATCTTCGGAAAATCGTGGGCAGTTGCCCACCTTGCCCACGCCTAGATCCGCCACTGCTTCGCTGGCCCTCCTGTTTTGGCACCTACAGGGTGTTTCAAAAAACATGTGCCATCTCTCGTGGGGAGATTCCTCACCTAAAAATGAGATTTATTTTTCATATCAACATAGGTCCGATTCTGCTTTGTTTCGTAGCTACAGAGTGTTAAAGTCTTAATATTTTTTCGATTTATTATAATTTTCTTCCAAGTACTTTAAGAGTTTCGAATGAATTTTTGATGGAATAAGTAACAATAAATGCGACATATTTTAAAGCTAAAAAACTGTCGACATATTCACCAGGGACGTGCATATGGGTTATCACTGGAATATTCTTCTAAAAAAAGCATGTACGCCACTGACTTTTTTTCTCTTGTTAGCAAAATAGTATAAGCAGTTTAATGCCGATTAAAAGTTGTCTCTTGATATTTTGTCGATTTCGGCCTTCTTGATGAGATAAACGCAATTTTATTAATTTGCCTTGATCCAAGTCTAATAGCAACTTTTAAAAAAAATTAATATCATTAACTTGCGGAAGTTTTAAATAAGTACTCATTGATTCTTCATTAAAAAAATATGAAAAAAAGTTCCTATAAACATGGGTCTGGAAATGCATAGTTTTAGAGTTACAGGATGTTAAATCTTTTTAAAATTAGACTTGATATAATCTCATTTTATACATCTATAAAAATGTTAACTTGAAAACTAATGTTAAGATAATGTTAAATAATATTAAGTATCACAGTTTCCACAGAATGGCATCGTTAAATGAAACCGAACACATCGAAATTAATTAAATCGAATTGTTGAAGTGATATTTTCCAAAGTCAATAACTCGGAAACGGTTGGTTTGAGATACATTATGTGTATCTCGATTTTTTCTTAGAATTGAAGGAAGAACCGAGCTACGACTTTATGACCGACCCTGTATACTTAAATGTGTTATCCGCTAATAGATATTTGAAAACCCTATATTACTTTAATATTTAACTTTTTGCGGTACCTCTTATATTTTACAGAAGTATATGTATGAAAAAAAAATTGAAAATTTGGAATTTTTTTCGAAAAACATTTTGGGTTTTTTTTTTAATTTTTAGTTAAGATATTTAATATATTCATAATATGGCAACATATATGTAGTAGATTAAATTTACAAGAAAGAAATCCAAGAAAAGATCCAGCTGTTCTCAAAATTTAAGCAAAAAATTATTTTATTTTCAAATAAATCCAAAATTAGTTTTATTTATTTAAGTTTGAAAACTTAAAAAAAATAGAGAGCCATGGTAATATCAGAGATTAAGCGTGGGAAAATGTCCGGTGAATAGGCAGTTCTGCTTCAAAACGTTTTCTAAGATATACAGGGAAAATTTAAAATAAAATGCACGATTTTCAACATCTCTTTTTTTGTGAAAAAACCCTCATAGACGTGTTCCTGGGTTCGAATAATATACGACCCCTAAAAATATTTACACTTATTTAAGACTCGCCCTTTATAATAAACAAAAATTAATTCTAAAATTCTGTAAAATTCATAGACGCACAGACACGACGATCTTTCCACATACATGAGTAATACTCTGTGGTAATACTACAACTATTATTATCATTCAACATTTGCGTTTTGCATTCAGGATTACACATTTTATGTAAATATGTATATTATGATAAATTACTTCATGTTCTATTTAAAAGTAGTTAAACATTTTATTCCATAAACCATACATACCTACTACCTACTGCCATTACTCGCTGACGAGTATTTGACATGCATCAGAAGATGGTTACACAAAGCGTTTTCGTTCATGAGCTTTTCTGTGACTGAAAAGCCCGATACGTTATGTTATCTCTCTTCCGCACTCCGGACATTCAAAAATCTCATTGTTTTGTTGCCTTTTTACTTTTTTGTTTTGTTAATTCATAAAAGTAATAATTATTTTTCTGTCATCATTATGTACGTACAATACGTACCTATAGGGAAATTAAAATAACCTTGGTTGCACATCATAAACGACCACCAGTTATCTCCATAAGACGACGCATGGTGTCATTGATGACGTGCAACTAAATTTGTTTTGATTTCCCTTATATAATATACAGGGTGATCCGAAATGTATTCCGGAAACTTCGGCAGTATATTCTGCAGATAAAAATAAATAAAAAAGTTCGTATAAATGTATGTCCTAAAATGCTTAGTTTCGGAGATACAGGTTGTTAAAGTTTATTTTTTATTTTTTCTAAATAATTTCTGAAGTAACGTCAATATTTCGATGAAAATTGGTGTCTGGAAGTTTTTTGACACGAGAAATTTGATCTTGATGTCAATACGACTTCTACTGGTAGAGGGCGCTACCTACATATTTTTTAACTGGTTTGAAGTGTAATAACTTTTCGTCCGCACCTGTATAAAACTACTGAGTAAAAAATATACATTTACAACCCCGTTTTATAATAATAATAATAGCTCCCGTATATAGCGTTTAACGCCTTGGGAGAAGCAAGGTACAGCTTGCTATACTAGAGCCGTTCGGTATACAAGGAAGGTAATGTGGCTAGTACTACGCTTCAACCGCCTATTATTACCTCAGGATTGTGAATCCCAAGTACTCATTTAAGGCTGACTCGACCTAGGTACCCAAATTATTTTTATTTTAATAAAAATAGTCGGCTGATGAAATGCCGGGTGTGGGATTCGAACCCACTTTCTTGAGATGATAGACGAGGGCCTATACCTCTACGCCATGCGCCACCAGGCATCTTACAACAACGTTTTAAACGTAAAAAAAAATCTTGGTATAAATCGCTACGAGTAATGGTTCTCGAGATATTTGGAATCAAAATGTAAATACCTTTGACGCCTTTTTTCGACCGTATGGTACCTATTTTATTATCATAATATGATAAGTGTCATAATAATATCATTGCAGCTTAACTCTCTCATTATACAATGCATAAAATTGTAAATAAAACAATTTATCATCTCATTATATTCAAATTCAATAATATTTGTGGAAGATAATTATTCATTTTCAGTGTTTAATTATAAAAAGATTATTTCGAAATAATTAAATGCTCAGAAGCAAGATTTTGATTGCTTGCACAAACACAGAAAATTATTTAAAAATCTGTTGTTTGTCGTGCAAGTCAACGATCTACATAGTTCACTGCCCCGCAGTAACTATAAAACTTTACATCTTTACATCCAGGAAATGCAG